CCCTGGCTACTGCCCCTCCTAGGTCCTGCCATAAACCTTTTCCTCCTTCTAGCATTTGGCCCCTGCCTCTTACGTCTCCCTACCCAGTTTTTACAGGACCGTATTAAAGCTTTCACCCATGGAACAATACAGGATATGATGCTGCTCTAAGAACACCAACAGCTCCAGGAATGACAGTCCCTACAGTCTGGCCTCCCACCCTGCAACCATTGCCCCATCCAGCAAGCAGCAGCCAGATGACAAGGGCAAGAGGCTGGAATGTTAGGGACAAGCTGCCCCAGAAAATCCCCTCAGCTGCCCCCACCCTGATTGCTCTGCAGCTGCATTCCTAAACACTCATCTAGGTGCCAGAGCAAGGTCACCAGACAGGCTACAATGAGCCAAGCCTGATTACAGCCATCTGGGCAGTGCAGGAGGTCATGGGAAACAAACCTTTGTTACATGTACTTGTAAATTCCTGTTTTACACATACCTGTAAAATCTTGTTTTCTTTTTTTAAAACTGTGTAAAAATCCTGTTTGGTTTTTTTTTAAACTGCTGCCACAAAAGTCACAGGATGATGTATTGTAAGTCTCACAAGCTGATGTTCACACTTGTTACAAGCTGGTAGATTATCTCCCTGGAGACTCCCTTCAGCCCCTCTCACCCCATATAAACCCCTCATTTTGTAAGCTCGGGGCAGCCTGGCAGGTCAATAAACTTGCCTGCCTGACTTTGGGTCTACTCGTCCTTTCTCTCGGCTGCTCTTACAGTTGTAGGTGTGTGGCCTTATTTCTGGGCTCTCTATTCTGTCCGATTGGTCTCTGTCTGTTTTTGTACCAGTACCATTACTGTTTTGGTTACTGCTGCTCTGCAGTATAGTTTGAAGTCAGGTAGCATGATGAGAGGCATTGCTTATAATATTAATACTAGCACAGGAGCTCACATACAGGTGTGTGACGTGTGTGTGTTACACACCCACATACACACAAAACTACCCAATGTCCATCAGTAAAAGCCGGTTAAATTATGGTATAGTTACATGTAACTGTACATTAACATGGGATTATTTCTGTCTACAATTCAGCTGAGACCTCACTGTCTGAGAATACATAAAAGAGGCAGAGCTCCCCTGCATCCCAAGGGAGGGGCTGGATCACACATGCAGAACACACTAAGATATTATGAAACCAGATCTACTGGCAGTAATGTTCACCCCATCCTACCCATCAAAGGACAGAAGGGACTCATCAGTCAGTGGAGTCCCTTCTGACTCATCTGGAGGCCTCCCCAGCTCAACCCACCACACCCCTGGGGAGGTAGGTGGACCCACCTGGGAGGTGGAGAGGCAGGTGGGTGCAGGCTGGGGGCCACTGCCGAGAAGTTGCCCTCCCACCGCCCAGTACTTAGTGCTGATGCTCTCGGCCCACACAGAGGGGCCAGCTGCTTATTCTCGCAGCCCGATACCGAGATGCAGATGAACCGGGGAGGAAGAGAGTTTTTATTTCTGTAACTGGGTGCAGGGAGAAGGCCTAGAAATTATCACCAGACCAAATCAAAATTTCAAAGTTTTCCAGAGCTTATATACCATCTAAGCTATATGTGTACGTGTAAGTGTGCATTTCTCTAAAGACATAAGTGATTAACTCCTAATCTATAACTAAGGTCTCAGTCCTGAGGACCTTCCTCTGGAGCCCCAGTAAATTGACTTAATCAAACGGGTCCAGGTGCTGGGGTGATTACCCTTTCCTTGTCTCCTGCTAAATCACGGAAGTTTAGGGAGTTCCTTCAGACCCCCAGTAAAACTTGTTTAATCCTAAACAGGTCCTGTTAAGAATTCCTTCATTATCTTGTCATGCTTTAAGGCCCAGGAAAGGCCCAGGCAAAACTCTAGGTGGGCTTTTACATTCCAGCCTTGGTATGAAGGTACTGGCTCTTTCAGCTTTTAATCCTTACCCACTCAGTGCTGAAACAGCTGTCGCGGAGGCCTGCGCTCCTGAGACCTGGCCTGCAACACCAGGGGCTGGAAAGGAGTGGAAGAGGAACTCTGATATTTTGATTCAAATAATTATGGTTTGTTCTATTTCCAGCAATTTCAGATTTTTGTTAAGTTTGAATTTTTTTTTTTTACGATAAGCACATTTTATTTGTAGGAGCAGGACATAATATCAAAAGATAGCATTTTAATTAGAAATAAATTAATTACAAAAAGCTACCAGAGGGCCCAGCTTTTCACTCCTCCTGCTCTCTCCATTAAACACAGAACTCAGCCCAGCTGGGGGAGCTGCAGCCCGCAGCAGCCTGGGAGAATGCTTCTTTTCTCCTGTCCACAACCAGGACAGGACTTCCAAGCAGGATAGGGAACAGGTCCCCGGGATGGGACACTAGCGCCTTGAACCTGACTTCCCCAGGCCAGGACTCAGCCCCCTCCTTGGAACCCCATTTCTCCCCGGTCTCCCCCTGCCTCAGCCTCCCCCACACTTCACCCAACTGCCTGCCTGCACCCCAGCTCTGTCCCCTCTTCTCCTTCCCCAGACCACTCACCTTCAGCTGGTAGTGAGCTTTCCCATGAAGAAACTGAGGCATGCCGGGAGAAGGGAGCGAATCCAGGTGAAGCTGCAGCTTAGCCACAGGGCCAGGGCTGGGACCCAGGCTTCCTAGTAGGAGATGCTACGGTGTGCTCCAGAGGACACCACACACCTGAACAGCGGGAGTGTGCCATGCTTCCCCTCTCTATCTTCCTTAATTTGAGATGGAAATGTGCACCACACTGGGGGTGGGGGTGGGGTGGGGAAAGAACAGGCTTTTCTCACTAAGTCAGGTCAGAAAGTGGGATGTGTGTGGCAGCAACTACGTTCTTAACTTCCCTAAGCCTGCCTTTCCTCCCGTGAAAGGGCGTCCGGTCGCTCTGCCTTGTGGCATTGCTGGGGGAGCTAATGAAGCAATGCGGTGCAGCTGGTGCCTGTAACTGGCAGCTGTGGTTTGTTCTCCCAAAATCAGCCACTCTGGCCCCAGCCATTCAGGAGCTATTTTGGGTGGCATTCATCTGGGTGGTGGGGAGCAATGGAACTTTCTCTTTTTTCTGAAACAGGGTCCTGTTGTCGCCCAGGCTTGAGTGCAATCGCACGATCTCATCTCACTATAACCTCCCACTTCCTGTAACCTCCGCCTCCCAGGCTCAAAGCATCCTCCCACCTCAGCCTGCCATGTAACTGGTACTAGGGGCGCACCACCACGCACAGTTAATTCTTGTACTTTTTGTAGAGATGGGGTTTCGCCACGTTGCCCAGCTGGTCTCGAACTTCTGGCCTCAAGTGATCCTCCTGTCTCAGCCTCCCAAAGTGCTGGGGTCATAGGCGTGAACCACCATGCCCATACCCAACAGAACTTTTTCTTCCACATCCAGCTATGTATACATTTGCTCTCCAATGAGTACACAGTTGTCTTTTTTTTTCAACAGCACTGGATTCTAGGAAAAATGAAGAGTGCATGCTTTACTTACTATGCCCCTGTGTAATAAACATCAGCCTTACCAAAGAAGAAACCTGAGGCTGTGTCCACACTGCAAGTATCTTCCTACATTCTCCATTTCTCCTTAATCTGCAGATTGGCTGGGGGAAACTGAAGGAAATACTCCTAGTGCAGTAAACCTGATGGTCAAATCCTCCCAGAGCTCCAGGGCAGCCAGCTGCTAAGAGGCCGCTCCCCTCTGGCCCATGCCCTTCCTGTTGGCTCCTGGCCACACCAACCCATCACCTGGAAGGATGCTGGAGTAATGGGATTGCCCCAAGAGTCTGCGTGTCCTTGACGAGGGGCCAGACTCAACAATGTGCTTACTAATGAAACAGGGAAACCGCAAAGTTCAAGTGAGTGTTGGGTGCTGAGCCGTGCCTCATTCCCTCAGGGATCAAATATCAGCAGAGTCATCAGGTAAAGGCCACCAAGTTCACTTTTACCTTCCTGAAGAAAAGTGGTTTGGGGTCTCAGCTTCCTTCAACAGGCAGGGCAGCTCTCCGGCATGTGACAGAAGCAGGCTGGGAGTTGGAAAGCAGACAGCGGCTAGACACAGTGGTTCAGGCCTGTCATCCTAGCAGTTTGGGATTTCAGGCTGGAGGATCTCTTGAGGCAGGAATTTGAGACCAGCCTAGGCAACACAGTGAGATCTCTGCCTCTGTAAAAAATTAGCTCTGTATAGCCAGGTGTGGTGGGTCAAGTCTATAATTCCAGCACTTTGGGAGGCTGAGGCAGGCGGATCATCTGAGGTCAGGGATTCGAGACCAGCCTGACCAACATGGAGAAATCCCATCTGTACTAAAAACAAAATTAGCTGGGCATGGTGGCAAATGCCTGTAATCCCAGCTACTCAGGAGGCTGAGCCAGGAGAATCGCTTGAACCTGGGAGGTGGAGGTTGCAGTGAGCCAAGATTGCACCATTGCACTCTAGCCTGGGCACCAAGAGTGAAACTCCATCTCAAAAAAAAAAAAAAAACAGTTAGTTCTGTGTGGTGGTGCACACCTGTAATCTCAGCTACTCAGGAGGCTGAGGTGGGAGGATCACTTGCAAATCCAGGTTCCAGGCTTAGGTGAACTGTGGCTGCACCACTGCACTCCATCCTGGGCAACAGAGTGAGAGCCTGTCTCTTCAAAAAAGCTGACATCTGCTGAGTCTGTAAGGGACTCACAGATGCGGGTGGAGGGGACTCAGATTCCCGGAGCCTGGGAGCTGGGGCCGGAGTGGGAGTATTAGCCGTGGCCTTTTTTTCTCAATATCTCCATGGCATTCTACCCATTCCGCTCCACGGCTCCATCCTGTTCTCTAAGTTGGCCCTCGATCAACTTTAAACAGCCACAGACCTGTGAAACAAAGGGCCATGTGTCTTCTGAAGCGGATGCTGAGCCGGACCTTCACACAGCTGTGCTCTCAGAGCCTCCCCTGTCCCGCCCTATGTCCTCCTAGTTCTCACCTTTGCGTGCGGTGCTCATGTCTTCGACAGAAGGGGAGGCGGATACACGGCTTTTCAGAGTCATGTTCTTCCTGCCTAAAACAAGCACACAGGACTAGAGATGGAACCTGCTGTATTGATACACAGCTATCAAAATGTAAACAAACTCAGGCAAGATAAACACGACTATGAATGCATTACATGATAAGATCTGGCAGCCATTCTAATAACAACTAGGATTTTGAAGAAGTGATGAATGTAAGAAATTTCAAGGCATCTGCAACACACTTAGTGGGAAGTGAAAGAATTTCAAATTGCGTCAGTCACAGGTGCCTCTGACACACCCTGCTTTGTTGCACACATTAACTGAAGAAAAAGCTAAAGTTTAGTTAGGGGTTGAAAATAAGTGTGTAATTTTTTCTTTACTGAATGTACAGCCCTGTCTGTGGGCCCCTGACTTCGAGTGTCCAGGTCAAGCTTGGCTCCTGCCTGCAGTACGATGTTCTCTTTGCCTGGAGGACATACTCTACGGCTGGTCTGGGCCTTGCAGCGAGGCTCCCACTTTTATTTTCTCAGCTCTCTTTTTCCCTCTCCCTTCCCCCTCTTCCCCCTTCTTCTCCTCCCTCTCTCCTCCCTCTGTCTCTATACCTCCCTCCGTCTCTATACCTCCCTCCCTCCCTCCCCTCCTTTGGCTTCTCCTGGGGGCTACTCACTTAGGGCTGAGAGTTAAACATTTTTAGATTTAGAGTAACTTGGGAAGAAGGAGGAATTGGCTGACTCTCCCAGCCGGTAGACAGGTAGGTGGTCAGACTTCAAATGTAGGTCTGTTTCCAAAGTCCTGTCTTCCCAGCACGTCTGGGACTTTCCCACTCATCAATGTGTGTTTCCCCCAGAAAGCCAGGGACTGTCCTTGCCTCCATCTAGCTCTAGAGAGGGCTCATCTAACAAAAGACAGCCTTCGGCTGCCAGGTACACAGGTGCTTTGGCCGTACCTGTCTCTCCTTCACTGTGCTCTGCCCTTGTGTCCCCGCAGGAAGGGCTTTCAGGACATCATTTGCAAAGATTGAATAGTGCCTGCCCCCCTCACAGACCCTGCTAAAACTGGAAAAAAAAGACCCAAACTGAAACTTCTTGCCCAGGCTGGCACTTATTTATATGTATTGTCTCTGTGTCCTACAAACATTAACCAGAAAGCCTCTTTGACCAGACACACGGGAAACAGAGGTCATGCTCTCTCCTGCACACAGAGCCCTGAGGCCAAACAAAGTTTACCCACAAAAGTGAGTTGTTTGCTTCTGCTTTCTTAGCAACAGATTTAGAAACCTATTCATCAGACAGACTTCCTTCTGAGTGGCTCATCCACATCCCCCCTCCCCTCACACTTCTTGACCCCCGACTCTGCCCCACACCCTTGTCACCCTGCTTTAGTTTGTTGAGCGAATCAGGATGGTCTCAGGCATTTCATTCATTCATTGATTCACCTATTCATCAAAGCCTTGTTGAATATCTAGGTATGTGCAGGACCCAGCACTGTGTGGGTAACCCTAACTTCAGCTCACAATCATTGGATTAAATTCTCTTTTAAAATGGTTTTAGGCTGGGCATGGTGGCTCACACCTGTAATCCCAGCACTTTGGGAGGCTGAGGCGGGCAGATCACCTGAAGTCAGGAGTTTGAGACCAGCCTGGCCAACATGGTGAAATCCCGTCTCTACTAAAAATACAAAAAAAATGAGCTGGGCATGGTGGCAGGCACCTGTAATCCCAGCTACTCAGGAGGCTGAGGCAGAAGAGTCACTTGAACCCGGGAGGCAAAGGTTGCAGTGAGCTAAGATCGCGCCACTGTACTCCAGCCTGGGCGACAAGAACAAGACTTCATCTCAAAAAAAAAAAAAAAAAAAAAAAAAAAAAACCAAAGGTCTTAAAGCTGTGTGTTTTTTCTTTTAAAAGACGGGGTTTCACCATGTTGGTCAGGCTGGTCTTGAACTCCTGACCTCAGGTGATCCGCCCGCCTTGGCCTCCAAAGTGTTTGGATTACAGGCATGAGCCACCATGCCCGGCCAAAGCTGTGTTTTTATATGCTTTTTACTTTTTCTGAAAGCACTTTTAAAAAGAAAGTACCTTATATCAGAAATCAATTTATAGGCTAGGTACAGTGGTTCACACTTGTAATCCTAGCACTTTGGAAGGCTGAGGCAGGAGGACCACATGAGCTCAGGAGTTTGAGGCCAGCCTAGGCAACATAGCAATATCCCATCTCTATAAAAAAATCAAATATTAGCCAGTCATGGTGGCATATGCCTGTGGTCACAGCTATGCAGGAGACTGAGGTGGAAGACTGCTTGAGCCCAACAGGTCAAGGGTGCAGTGAGCTGTGATTTCGCCAGTGCACTCCAGCCTGGCTGACAGAGCCAGACCCTGCCTCAAAAAAGAAAAAAAAAAAAAAAAAAGCCTATGGATAATGGCTTGTTGTTATAAATATAGAAGAGACAAAGTTTTAGTTCTGATCTGGAGGACTAAAGGATAGAACTCTTTCTTCCCTCCCCTGGTAGCCAGAGACCACTGGACACCACAGTTTGGAAACCCCCGATCTATTTTCTTGGTACTGTCCTGCATAAACCCTTGGTTCCCGGTGTTCTAGAAACAGGAAACATCTCCCTGCTTCACCCTTGAAAATCTTTGCATTCTCTGAGGCCCACTGAATGCCAGATGTCTTCTGGGAGGCCTTGCTTGCTCACAGTAAAGTCTTTCACCTCTACTTGGCTATGCCATTGTCTATGCTTTTTATTTTTATTTGATGATGACCACGTTAAGTTTTATGACAGCTTTTGCATTCTTGCCTTGTATGCATTTAATGTTTGAAAATTTTTTCCGCTTTTTATTTTAAGAGACAGGACCTGACTGTATATATTGCAGAGGCTTGATTGGGACTCCTTGGATGAACCCATCCTCCGCCTCAGTCTCCCAAGTAGCTGGGACCCCAGGTGGGCGCCACTACACTCAGCAGTGATGCTGTGTTACTTCAGCCATGCCTAGCTGGTCTCTCCAAGTCCTGAAAGTGTTTCTTCATAATGTCTCTTTTATTGGAATCTTCTTTTCCCCCAGTTAATCCAGTCCCTAGAAAGTAACCATTTATTTATCTGAGTGCATGAATATAACCATTTATTCAGTGTCAAGTGCATAATTGATGTCAGGTCTTATTCTTGACGTGAGGGTCAAGGAGACATTTCTGGGTTTTTTTTCTTTTCTTCTCTTTTTTTTTTTTTTTGAGACAGAGTTTCCCTCTGTTGCCCAGGCTGGAGTGCAGTGGTGCCATCTTGGCTCACTGTAACCTCTGCCTCCCGGATTCAAGTGATTCTCCTGCCTCAGCCTCCCAAGTAGCTGGGATTACAGGCGCCCACCATCACACCCGGCTAATTTTTTGTATTTTTAGTAGAGATGGGGTTTCGCCATGTTGGCCAGGCTGGTCTCAAACTTCTGACCTCAAGTGATCTGCCCGCCTTGGCCTCCCAAAGTGCTAGGATTACAGGTGTAGCCTGGGTGACAGAGAGAGACTCCTTATCAAAGAAGAAGAAAAAAAATAATAAATCAATATAACTTAAAATGGATCAAATACATGAATGTAAGAACTAAAACTATAAAACTCCTTTATATCCCACACCCCCCTCCCCAAGACAGTCTTGCTCTATCGCCCAGGCTGGAGTGCATTGGCCAGACTTGTCTCACTGCAACCTCCGCCTCCTGGGTTCAAGCAATTCTCTTGCCTCAGCTTCCTGAGTACCTGGGATCACAGGAGCTCACCACGACATCCGGCTAATTTTCATATTTTTAGTAGAGACAGGGTTTCACCATGTTAGCCAGGCTAGTATCAAACTCCTGACCTCGTGACCCACTTTGACCTACCAAAGTGCCGGGATTACAGGCGTGAGCCACCTCGCCTCGTCTATAAAACTCCTAGAAAAAAAAAGACATAAATCTTTGTGACTTCGGATTAGGCAATGGTTTCTCAGTTGTGACATCAAAAGTACATGCAACAGCAACAACAAAATAGACAAATTATACATTATCAGAAGTTAAAACTTATTTATTTATTTTTTTCAGTCTTGCTCTGTCTCCCAGGCTGGAGTTCAGTATCGTGATCTCCACTCACTGCAACCTCCACCTCCTGGGCTCAAGTAATTCTCGTGCCTCAGCCTCCTGAGTAGCTGAGACTACAGGCACAGGCCACCACGTCCAGCTAATTTTTTGTCTTTTTAGTAAAGATGGGGTTGCACCATGTTGGTCAGGTTGGTCTGGAACTCCTGACCTCAGGTGATCCACCTACCTTGGCCTCCCAAAGTGTTGGGATTACAGGGTGAGCCACCACACCCAGCCTTGTTTTCATTTATATGTTTGGAACAGACAAATCCATAGGGACAGAAAGTGGATTGGTGGCTGCTTAGGGCTAGGTGGGGAGAGCAAAGGACGGGCAAAGTTGGGGTGGAATGGGGAGAGACTGCTGCTTATGAGTTTGCAGTTTTCAAGGGTGATAAAAATGTTCTAAAATTCCTTGTGATGACTGCACAACACCTTGAGTATATTTTTAAAAACCCATTGACTTTATAAGTAACTTTTCAATATTATATTTCAATAAATCTATTACTTACAAAGACTGTTGGTAATCCTTCCATATAAATGAGGAATTTGTAGTTATTTTTAAAATTAAAGTAAAAATAACTTTTACATAAAAAAAGAAAAAAAACTGTTGGAAGGGCAGAAGACTGCTGCTAGTGTTAAGAAAATCAAGCTGTGCAGGAACTACCAGTGACCTTGTAGGAGCTACCCTCGCAGCACTGAAGTGAATGCCTTGCAAGAACACACCCAAAACATGTGGCTGAAACCTTTCCGAAGCCTGCTGACGTCTGCTCACCTGCCTGCCCCTGCCAGAAGCAGTAATCTCTGCCAGCTCCTGTGATACAGGGAGAACACAGGAGAAAGTGGGACTGGCACTGAGCAGCCACACACACGGGAGTTTGAGAGCAGCCTGACCAACATGGAGAAACCCCATCTCTACTAAAAAATACAAAAAGAAAAAAAAAGAAAGAAAGAAAAAAGTTAGCTGGGCGTGGTGTATGCCTGTAAACTCAGCTACTCGGGAGGCTGAGGCAGGAGAATCACTTGAACCTGGGAGGTAGAGGTTGTGGTGAGGTGAGATGGCACCATTGCATTCCAGCCTGGGCAACAAGAGTGAAACTCCATCTCAAAAAATAAAAAATAAAACAAAATGAGGAAATTGAATCTGAGATCGTAGAAGTGACATGCTCAAGGTCACACAACTTGCTAGTGATAATGTACCTACTGTTCAGCCTAGGGGTTTTGTTGGGGAGGACAAAAACCATCTTTGTGAATTTTAGGAGGCACAATAAACTCTCAAGTTACTATTCTGATTTAACACTCAGAAAGCAAATATACCAAAGATGGTTTATGTAGGAAAAATCCCGGTGCTGCAGATTTCAGGCCTGTCCAAACATTACGCTTCAGATCAAACAGATGCCTAACATTGCACAACAAAAGCTCATTTCATAGGTTGGTGGTTTGTCAAAAAATCCAACATGATATTTTGGCACACACACACAAAATTCCACATATCATGAGCGAAAAGTCTGATTATTTATTTTATTTCTTAAAATTTATTTATTTTATTTTGAGATGCAGTCTCTCTCTGTTGCCCAGGCTGAAGTGCAGTGGCGTGATTCTGGCTCACCACAACCTCCACCTCCAGGGTCCACCCAATTCTCCTGCCTCAGCCTCCCGAGTAGCTGGCACTATAGGTGTGTGCCACCATGCCTGCCTTTTTTTTTTTTTTTTTTTGTATTTTTAGTAGAGACGAGGTTTCACTATGTTGGCCAGGCTGGGCTTCAATACCATCATTTGCCGACAGAGAAAGAAGGATGTGGGGAAGGCGGATAATAGTGGAGCAGCCAGGAAAAGCACAGTAAACAAGAGTGAGATTTGCTGTGCAGATTTAAAACAGAGCCATCTCTACTGATGAGTTCCTAGTGATTTAGAATCATCCTGCTTTTGCTGGTATAGAAAGGAAGACACACTTTCAAATGGAGGCTTCCAGCTGGGTGCAATAGCTCACGCCTGTAATCCCAGCACTTTGGGAGGCCAAGGTGGGTGTACTACCTGAGGTCAGGAGTTCGAGACCAGCCTGGTCAACATGGTGAAACCCCATTTCTACTAAAAATACAAAAATTAGCTGGGTGTGGTGGCATGCACCTGTAGTCCCAGCTACTTAAGAGGCCGAGGCAGGAGAACTGCTTGAACCTGGGAGGTGGAGGTTGCAGTGAGCTGAGATCGTGCCACTGCACTCCAGTCTGGGCAACAGAGCGAGACTCTGTCTCAAAAAAACAAAAAAAAAGACTTCCTTTATACATTAAATTTCCCTTACCAAAGGGTAATTTCTACTGTTTTCAGAGCTTCTCATGTATCTGCAGATTCTCAAAATCATCAGCTCGAAGTAGTCCTTACACTAAGGAGGTATATTTTGTGCTGGCATATTCTGGTTTCCGACAACTCAGCAAAGATCACAAAACTAATGAGCGAATTCAGGCAGTCTGGCCTCACACCTGCGCCCTGCGTATCTCACTGGATATCTTTAGAGGACAAGGCAAGTCACGTAGTAACTTTTAATTAGAGGGATCAAGGAAGACTTCATGGAAGAGGTGGCATTTGAATTAAGCCGTAAAGTAAAAGAGCATTCCAAGTTGGGATTGTAGATACAGAGATGTTTGTGGGTAAGCATTTGGCCTGGCACAAGAAGATGGAAAATACTGAGGGGGAACTTGGACTCTCTGGTAAGTGGTTTGACACTATTGTGAAGGTATTGAGAGGTCAAATAATTTTTATGAGAAGGAAAGGACTCTATTCTAACACTTTCTATCTAGCCCTTTAATCTAAAATATCTAACACCTATGCCAGGCATGGTGGCTTAAGCCTGTAATCCCAGCACTTTGAGAAGACAAGGCAGGAGGACTGCTTGAGGCCAGGAGTTCAAGACTATCCTTGCCAACATAGTGAGACCCCTCCCATCTGTATATGTAAAAAAAAAAAAAACTAACACCTAATATGGGGTGGTGGTAGAGGAGAAAAATTTCTCGTATCTATTCTAGAAGTGCAACTTCATTGAAAACACAAGACATAAGAACACTCAAAAAATGGTAGAAAAGTTAAAAAATGTGATACAAGAGATGTTTCAAGGCAGGTTATATTAATTCTTTCTTTGGTTTGAATGGAGGGTTTGCAAGTAGAAGAGTTTGGAAAAGGCTTTGGGCAGTTGAGAAGGAAGCTGCTATGGTTTGAATGTTTCCCCCAAAACTCCTGTGTTAGAAACTTAATCTTCACTGCAACAGTGTTAGGAGGTGGGGGCCTAAAAAGGTGATTAGGTCAAGAGCACTCTGCCCTCGTGAATGGATTAATGTCATTTTTGAGGGAGTGGGTTAGTTATCTTGAGAGTGGGCTGTTACAAAAGTGAGCTTGGCCTCTCCTTTTGCTCACTTGCCCTCACTCTCTCTTGCTCTTTTGCCTTCCACCATGGGATAACTCAGCAAGAAGGTCCTTGTCAGATGCTGGCACTTTGATATTGGACTTCCCAGCCTCCAGAAATAAATTTATTTTCTTCATAAATTACCCAGGCTGTGGTACTGTGTTATAGCAACAAAAAACAGACTTATACAGAAGCCATAAATAATGGACAGTGAGCCATATTGCCAAATGTGGGAATAAAATGGTTAATGCTGAAATTGACTGCCCAAGAACCCTCTCCTTACCCTCATAATGCCCCAGGGAGAGGAGAATCCCACTAATGAGTGACTGGGAATGATGAACTAGCTCTGGCAGGAGCCTAGGTGTCCAGATCTAGGCAACTCCAGGCTGACTTTGTGGTTCCACGATCCAGAGTAAGAAAATTCCAAGCTTCCTCCTAGACCACATCCTAAATGCATAAGAATTGCCAGATAAAATCATCTAAGATATGGAAATGGGCAAAGGAGATCACTAGGTTTCCTTTCAATGGAGCTGTTACTACTGCCTGCTGGAATTTCTGGGATTTTTAGATTTATAGGGTCGTGCAGTTTAATTTCTTATTGACAAGGCTATTTTATAATTTTGTAGGAGTTGAAGTAAAATTGTAAAAAAAAAAAAAAATCTGATGGTAAGACAAATTCTTATCCATAGCAATGGAAATAAATTTTATCTGATAGAGATACAACTGATTTCTCCTCTGCAGAAGTGAGAACACCAAACATTACATTTTATTGCACTGTAGAATATTAACCAGTTTTACATCTATTTGCAAAACCATTTTATCTTTGCTCTTTGCCCTCTGTTCCTCAAATTCTCTTTGAAATAATCTTAACATCTTACCAGTGCTCTCATTAATTGAATTGAATAAAACCCTTGACCTGTGTTCATGCTATATTTGCAGCCTCAACGTCCCAGGCATAAGCCATCCTCCCGCCTCAGCCTCCCTGGTAGCTGGGACCACAGGCTCATGTCACCACACCACCACATATTTTTTGTATGTTTTGTAGAGATGAAGTTTCACTATGTTGCCCAAGCTGGCCTCGAACTCCTAGCCTTAAGAGATCAGCCACCTCAGCCTCCCAAAGTGCTGGGATTAAAGATGTGAGCCACTGTGTATGTCTTAAAAAAATTATACTTTAAGGCTGGGCGCAATGGCTCACATCTGTAATCCCAGCACTTTGGGAGGCCGAGGTGGGTGGATCACCTGAGGTCAGGAGTTCCAGACCAGCCTGGCCAACATGGTGAAACACCGTCTCTACTAAAAATGCAAAAATTAGCTGGGTGTGATGGCAGGCGCCTGTAATCCCAGCTACTCTAATCTAGGCTAATCAGAAGAAAGTAAATGCCGCAATTTTCACAAATGGACCAAAAGTAGTTTCCAGAAACTCTATCTGCAGTGCTTGTTGGCAACTCTGATAATTCTAATGGAGTTTTAAACAGACACTTTATGAGAAATTAGAAAAGAGGGGGAAAAGCATTTGCTAGGTACTGCATATTGACAATTACTGTGCTAGGTATACATACGTTACCTCACTTATTCCTCAGAATATCTTTGAGATCCTTGTCCTAATTTTGCAGGAATAAGCAGGAAATATTTGAGTACGTATGGTAACACCCGTCTACAGATCAAGTCACATAAGCGGAAAACTACAATAATGGTTCATGAACCCCAGTGGTTAAAAGGGCATACCAGAAAAAGGGCGGACAATTCAGTAAACATGTGAATGAAAGGACAACCAGCAAGATTAAAGTCATAAACAAGAAAAACGGTGCCAGTGCTTGGGCAGGTGCTCTTAATTACACGGGCATGGCTTGAGGCCTCTTTGTTTCTTCAGAGCTCAGTAAAGAACAGATCTTCCCACACACACCCACCTGGCTCTGTTGTCCGGGCTGAAATACGGTAGTGGGATCACAGCTCACTGCAGCTTCTGCCTCCCTTGCTGAGTAAGGGAGGGAATCTAGCATTCACTTCGGTGCCTGCCTTCCTGCATCAAGACCTACGTACATACCAGGCAAAATGAACTCTTCAGCCAGGCGCGGTGGCTTACGCCTCTAATCCCAGCACTTGGAGAGGCCAAGGCAGGCAGATCATGAGGTCAGGAGATTGAGACCATCCTGGCTAACATGGTGAAACTCCATCTCTACTAAAAATACAAAAGATTAGCCGGGAGTGGTGGCATGCGCCTGTAGTCCCAGCTACTCAGGAGGCTGAAGCAGAAGAATCACTTGAACCCAGGAGGCAGAGGTTGCAGTGACCTGAGATTGCGCCACTGCACTCCAGCCTGGGCAACAGAGCGAGACTCCATCTAAAAAAAAAAAAAAAAAAAAAAAAAAAAAGAACTCTTTAAGAATAAAAGAAAAAAGACCTATATACCGTGATTCTCAAAAGGATTTGTACTCCATGTCCAGAAGGCAACCAAAGTGACCAGAAGCTGATAGAACTGAAGTAGCCTCTTAGAAAAAGAAAGAGAGTAGATTCCTCGCTGTATCTGCGATGTTGACTATCTAAAACACAAGATCTGCCTGGGCCTGGTGGCTCACACTTGCCATCTCAGCACTTTGGGAGGCCGAGGCGGGCAGATCACTTGAAGTCAGGCGTTCGAGACTGCCCTGGACAACATGGTTAAGCCCCATCTGTATTAAAAATACAAAAATTAGCTAAGCCTGGTGGTGTGCGCCTGTAATCCCAGCTACTCGAGAGGCTGAGACCAGAGCATCACTTGAAGCTGGGAGGTAGAGGTTGCAGTGAGCTGCCACTGCATCCACCCTGGGTGAGAGAGTAAGATTTCATCTTATTAAATAAATTAATTAATTAAATAAGATCTGATGCAAAAGAGCATAATGCTAACTTTTTTATTTTTGAGACAGATTTGGCTCTGTTGTTCAGGCTGGAGTGCGGTAGTGTGATTGCAGTGCACTGCAGCCTCAGCCTCCCCGGTTAAAGGGATTCTCCCACCTCAGCCTCTTGAGTAGCTGGGACTGCAGGTATACACAACCATGTCTAGCTAATTTTTTATTTTTTGTAGAGATGGGAGGTCTCACTATGTTGCTTAGGCTGGTCTTGAATTCCTGGCCTCAAATGATCCTCCTATCTTGGCCTCCCAAACTGCTGGGATTAAAGGTGTGAGCTGCCATGCTCAGCCAGCATAATGCTAATATTTAAAAGCTTGATTGTTACATTTTTCTCTATTTTTGCCTCTATACTTGATTTAGTTCATGAAAAGTAAGTTTATTGTTAAGGAAAAGAAAGAAAATCTGGAGAGAAAAATGTTTACATTATTTGTCTTGATTTTGAGCCCCCACCCATAACAGAAGAGAGGTGGGAAGGTAGCAAGGTACAGGCTACTTTTTTTTTTTTTTTTAGACAGGGTCTCGCTTTGTTACCTTGGCCTCCCAAAGTGCTGGGATTACAGGTGTGAGCCACCACACCCGGCCTCCAGCTGCTTTTTTTTCTTTCTTTTGAGACAGAGTCTCTCTCTGTCACCTAGGCTGGAGTGCAGTGGCATGATCTCAGCTCACTGCAACCTCCACCTCCTGGGTTCAGGTGATTCTCCTGCCTCAGCGTCCCGAGTAGCTGGGACTACAGGCACACACCACCATGCCCAGCTAATTTTTTGTGTTTTTAGTAGAGACAGGGTTTCACCATGTTAGCCAGGATGGTCTTGATCCCCTACCCTCGTGATCTGCCTACCTCAGCCTCCCAAAGTGTTGGGATTATAGGCGTGAACCACCATGCCTGGCCTTTTTTTTTTTTTTGGAGATGGAGTCTTGCTCTTGTCATTCAGGCTGGGGTGCAGTGGTGCTATCAAACCTCACTGCAATCTCCTTCCAGGTTCAAATGATTCTTATGCCTCAGCCTCCCAAGTAGCTGGGATTATGGATGCCTGCACCATGCCTGGCTAATTTTTGTATTTTTAGTAGAGACAGGGTTTCATCATATTGGCCAAGCTCGTCTTGAACTCTTGGCCTTAGGTGATCCACCTGCCTTGGCCTCCCGAAGTGCTGGGATTACACGCGTAAGCCACCACTCCCGGCCACCAGCTGCTCTTAACCACCTCTTGGGGACCTTGTGCTGCTCTTGCTTCTCCAGTCATGGGCTCTACCTACCACTGCCAGGCCTCCCTGGTCAACATTCCTTTTTGTCTTCTACTCGATAGATGTCTCCTTGTCTTGGAAATTTCAGGACAGTTCGTGGAAATCCTACCTACACAAGATTTGCTGGCTTCAGCCACTAAAGTTTCTTCAGGCCTCATTTCCTTCTCCAGCTCCCCAGTCCTGACTTCAGCTCTCACTCTACCTGTCACCCATACCTTCTACTTCTCTTGTGTTTGCACGTTTTATTTTATATTCTAATAAACAGATTCCCCATTCACACACACACAGCCCAGACCAGTGCCTAATGGTTCTCTAGTTTATCAAGGAATATCTACAGTTACCAAGAACCTGGGGACGCCCACAGACAGCCCACTTGTTTCTTTGGCCACACTGCATTCCGGCAGGCCTGCCGAGGTCATCTGAAGGAATCTGGGCTTCCAGCAGCACTTGGGGGTGGCTTTGGGAAAGCATCCTCCACTCTGCGTGGTGCCTGCTTGCTGAATGGGAAAGCAGAGAGTTTTCTGCGGCTGCAGTCAGAACATGCTAGTATATTTTTTGTTTGTTTTGTTTTTTGAGACAGGGTCTTGTTTTGTCACTCAGCCTGGAGTGCAGTTGTGCAATCACAGCTCACTGCAGCCTTAACCTCCCAGGCTCAAGCAATCCTCCCACCTCAGCCTTCCAAGTAGCTGGAACTACAGGCATGTGCCACCAAGCCTGGCTGATTTTTGTATTTTTTGTAGAGAAGTGAGCCGTCAGTGTATACAGCAATGTTCAGCTTGAGAAAGGAAGGGCAAGGGAGTCTGCCTAGGAGTTTCCCTGTCTCCATGAAGTCAGTGGCAAGACCTTCTGCTGAGCTACTGTGGGAGAATTTGATAAGAAATCACCCTGATTGAAGCTTTCATCCTATTCTGATAGAAAATTCAAAGAAATAAAAGCACTGGAAAGGAGAAGCCCTAGGGGAGTAAATGTACCACCATCCATGACACTCTATGTTGGGACTGATGGATTTATCCATTGGGGTATATATACTCTTACACTTATCCCCATATTTAAGGAAGGGCCAAATTTTTATGATTTTCCCTAACTACAGAGATCTCTAACTCCATGTTACTCAAAGTATGGTTTGCGGACCAGCAGTAGGGTGATCAACCATCCCGATTTGCCTGGAGATCAGAGATTTCCTGGGTTAAGGGACTTTCAGTGCTAAAACTGAGGTAGTCCCAGAATGAGCTGGTCACTCTAACCAGCAGCACCAGCATCCCCTTGTTAGAAATGGAGAATTCTGGGCATACTGAATCAGAATCTGCACTTGAACAAGATCATATACACATTCAGGTCTGAAAAGCATTTCTCTAGGTAATACTGGTAGAGTGGGTTGAATGGTGGGTGGGCTTTATCTAATCAGTTGAAGGCCTCAATAGACCAACCCCCTATATTAGTCAGGGTTTTCCATAGAAACTGAATCTATAAACTTAGTTTAAGGAATTGCGTCACACAACTGTGGGAGCTCAATGAATTCAAAATCTGATGGGAGAGACCCAGGAAGGAGTTGCAGTTCAAGTCCAAAGACAGTTAGGTTGGATACCCAGGAAAAGCCAATACTGCAGATGAGGTCCAAAGGCTGCCTGCTGGCAGAACTCCCTTTTGCTTAGGGGAGGTCAGCCTTTTATTTGATCCAGGCCTTCAACTGATTAGATAAATCCCACCCACATTATGAAAGGCAATTCACTTTACTCCAAGTCCATCCATTTAAAGGCAAATCTCACCCCAAAACATCCTCAGAGAAACTTCCAGAAAAATGTCTGATGAACTAGCTGGGTACCATGGCCCAGTTAATTTGACATAAAAAATTAACCATCACAGCAATCCCTGGAACCTGTGCTATCTTATCTGAAAAAAGATGCTTTGAAGATGTCAGAAATAATCTTGAAATGAGGAGATTATCCTGGATTCTCCAGGAAAGCCCTCAACTTAATAACAAGTGTCCTTATAAAAGACACACAGGACCAAGGGTGGTGGCTCACGCCTGAACTCCCAGCACTTTGGGAGGCCGAGGCGGGTGGATCACCTTAGGTCAGGAGTTTTGAGACCAGCCTGGCCAACATGGTAAAACCCCATCTTTACTAAAAAAATACAAAAATTAGCTGTGCATGGTTATGGAAGACTGTAATCCCAGCTACTTGGGAAGCTGAGGCAGGAGAATCACTTGAGCCCAGGAGGTAGAGGTTGCAGTGAGCTGAGATCAGGTCATTGCACTCCAGCCTGGGTGGCAAGAGAGAAATTCCATCTCAAAAAAAAAAAAAGACACTCAGGCCACCATGGTGGCTCATGTTGTATCGCTAGAGGCCAGGAGTTCAAGACCAGCCTGGGAAACACAGCAAGACCACCATCTCTATTTCACAAAAAGAGAGAGAGTGAGAAAGAAAAGAAAGACATATCAAAGAGATGAAGCCTGCGTGAAGGCAGAGAAGAGACTGGGGTAATGTGGCCACAAACCAAGGAAGCCAAGGAATGCCTCCCGCCACCAGAAACTGGAAGAGGCAAAGAAGGATCCTCTCCAAGAGCCTCCAAAGGGAGCGTGACCCTGCCATCACCTTGATTTGGACTTCTGGCCTCCGGAACTGTGACAGAATGAATGTCTACTGTTTTAAGACCCCAGTTTGTGGCGACTGGCTATGGGAGCCAAAGGAATCTAATACAACTGGGAAATGGCAAGAAGCTCATCTACCTGACTTCTCTCTGCAGGGTGGCGAGTCCACACCACCCACTTGCACATACACTAGGAGGGAGGTGAGAGGCAGTCCTCTCTTCCTCAGGGACCCCTTCCTGCTGGTCTCCGCCCACCTCCTGCATTGGTTCTTCTCTGCCACAGTAGCTCAGCTTTGTGTCCCCACCACTAGCGGGCATCTCCTCCCTGCTCCACACCCCAGTCCTGTGCGTTTCACTCTGCAGACCCCAGGCTTCAAACATGTCATCCTGATTCTTTCTCTCAGGTCTAGGAGGGCTTCATCCCTCGGCTCAGGCCTGGGCCCACCTGCTGCCACCGTCTCTCAAGTCACAAGCATTTATTGTGCATCTACTACGAGTTGGGCACCTGAAGTGCTGGGGCCCCTAGAAGTACCTGACTTCCAGAAATTCACTGTCTGCTGAGTAATTTCCCATTGTCTCAATTCTCTGAAAACACAGTGTGTGGCCACTGATTTCCAGGAATCTGCTTAGTGCCTGCACCTGCTACCCCTCACAGGATGCAAGGATACTGCTGTGGGGGGATATTAGAGCTGAAATCTGAATGCAGAGTCTCTTTCAAAGGTGCACAGTTGTTTGTTGGTTGTCACTGTGGGAAAAAACCATATGCCAAATGAAAGTAAAGCAGGGGGCTGGGCGCAGTGGCTCAAACCTGCAATCCCAGCACTTTGGGAGGCTGAGGCAGGTGGGTCACTTGAGGTCAGGAATTCACAACCAGCCTGGCCAACATGGTGAAACCCCATCTCTACTAAAAATACAAAAATTAGCTAGGCATGGTGGCGCATGCCTGTAATCCCAGTTGCTCAGGAACCTGAAGCAGGAGAGTGGCTTGAACCCAGGAGGTGGAAGTTGCAGTGAGCCAAGATTGCACTACTGCACTCCAGCCTGGGCAACAGAGTGAGATTCTGTCTTTAAAAAAAAAGAGAAGAAAGTAAAGCAGGGGCTGAATTTTATATAAAGAATTACAAATTATTATTTCATTGAAGCCATAGACCTAAGGTCTAGTCTTGCTTGTGTAAAAAAAGGTTAGGAACAATGATGTTACGTTTGCTAATCTAGAGTAGCTAAAAGTTTACGTAAATGTTAACTCAGTTACTAGAAAACGTGAGGATAGGTCTGATTCCAAATCCCGTATCTTACAAAGAAAATCATCCCAACAAATCCACCTCAAAAAGCAAGATCTTTAATCAGTAAAGATTTGCGCTTATTCATCCCCTTGTCATGCTCTGTGAGTCCAGGCATGACTCATTCTATTGTGCTTTGCTTTCTCGCACCTTGCAGATACTGCATGTTTTATGAATGGAAAGTTTGTGGCAACTCTGCCTGGAGTGAGTCTATCTATCGGTGCCATTCCAACAGCATGTGCTCACTTCATGTCTCTGTGTCACTTTTTTTTTTTTTTTTGAGACAGAGTCTCACTCCATCACCCAGGTTGGAGTGCAATGGTGCAATCTTGGCTCACTGCAACCTTTGCCTCCAGGGTTCAAGTGATTCTCCTGCCTCAGCCTCCCGAGTAGCTAGGATTACAGGCACCCACCACCATACCTGGCTAATTTTTGGTATTTTTAGTAGAGTATTTTTAGTTTTGCCATGTTAGTCGGGATGGTCTCAATCTCCTGACCTTGTGATCTGCCCGCCTCGGCCTCCCAAAGTGTTGTGATTACAGGCGTGAGCCACCGCACCCACCTCTGTGTCACATTTTGATCATTCTGACAGCATTTCAAACTTTTCATTATTATAATTATGACTGTGATTATTATTTTGAGACATGGTCTTGCTCTGTTCCCCAGGCTAGTGTGTAGTGGCGCAATCACTGTAACGTCAACCTCCTGGGCTCAAACAATCCTCCCACCTTAGCTCCTTGCATAGTTGGGACTACAGGACCATGCCACCAATTTTTTTTTTTTTTTTTTCCCCGAGACAGAGTTTTGCTCTTGTTACCCAGGCTGGAGTACAATGGTGTGATCTTGGCTCACCGAAACCTCTACCTCCTGGGTTCAGGCAATTCTCCAGCCTCAGCCTCCTGAGTAGCTGGGATTACAGGCACGCGCCACCATGCCCAGCTGATGTTTTTGTATTTTTAGTAGAGACGGGGTTTCACCATATTGACCAGGATGGTCTCGATCTCTTGACCTCGTGATCCACCTGCCTCGGCCTCCCAAAGTGCTGGGATTACAGGCTTGAGCCATCATGTCTGGCCCAAACATTTTTATTATTATATCTGTTAGGGTGATCAGTGACCTTTGATGTTACTATTCTAATTGTTTTGAGATGCCACAAACTGTATCCATATAAGACAGCAAACTTAAATCAATAAATGTGTGTGTTCGGATTGTCCCACTGACCGACCAGCTGTTCCACCATCTCACTCCTCCTTGGGTTTCCCTATTCCCTGAGACACAACAACATTGAAATTAAGCCAATTAATAATCCTACAATAGCTTCTAAGTGTTCAAGTGAAAGGAAGAGTCACACATCTCTCATTTTAAATCAAAAGCTGCAGGCCAAGCACAGTGGCTCATGCCTG